TCTCTTTCAACACTGTTCACCACTTGTTTGATCAAATTACTCCATAAAATTATCAAAACTTTACCTAACCCATGCCATGAAATTTATTAATGATACTATTTACCTTGAAGACTGGATAAAAGTGCTGTCTGATTTTCCTGTTTAGTTTTTCGTTAATTTGATGTTCCACAGTTGAATAATTGTTTTGCTACATTATGTTTAGTATAATTTGACATGGCCTTTTGTGCCTTTTTTCGTATGCCGGATTGTATTTCAGTATGTGATGATTTTGGTGAATGGGGGAGTGCCCATAGAATTTGCTGGAACTGAAGAGCCGGCTGCTTATGGAGAATTGATCTCAATTGGGGGCCTTGGTCCGAGTGTAAATGGAAAATTGAGTTCTACCATTGCAGAAATTCTTCAAACTAAGCTTTATATTGACAGTTCCCGATTTTATATCAAGTTTTATGATGTTCAGGTAAATTGCTGCTTTGTTCGATGTTGACATGTGTGATTCTGAGAATATTGCTAACTGATAATGGTTACCACTGTTTGGTATTGTCTGGACTTTTGAAATATTTGTATGTGGTGTGAAGTGATTTCGTTCATCTATCTTTTTTAATTCTCTGACATAATATATTGAAGCTCTTTTGGTTCTTTAAACATAGAGGTTTGTTTTGTAACCATGCAAATCTATAGAGATTCTTAGAATGTTTGTTGGAGGAAGCAAAAACTGGAATTGAATTAGTGCTGTTTTTCAGGGAACGCCATGCTAATAACACAACACAAGTTGTTTAAGTAGAAATTGATGTCGGATGTTGTTTAGCCATATTTTGTCTGTAGTAAGTGTTTGCAGATTTATGTTTTCTGTTTTCGAGATTAGTGATTTATTTATGATTAAATAAAAAATAATCTGCTGACTGGTTCTTTAGGGAGAGAGGGAGTTAAAATCTAGTTTTCATCTTGTTAGGTAACCGCCCCATGAATTTAGGTATAGTGGGACAGTTTCTTTTCACATTTTTCATTTATATTGATGTAATTATTTCAATTCAAGAGATTTACAGATTCAAGAGAAAACCTTACCTTCATATGGGCTTGAATCAGAAATTATTGTGAGTGAGTGAAGCACCTGGAGAGTTCTGCACAGGAAAAAAACTGGGTTGGGAGAGTGATACACCAGTGGGCTTTGAGTGTTTAGAGGTATCATTTAGAAATGGCTGAATCAATCAAATACGCTCAACCTGCCATTCCCAAATTTGATGGACACTATAATCATTGGGCAAAGCTGATGGAGAACTGCCTTCGTTTCAAGGAGTCGTGGTACTTTGTGGAACATGGGATTGATGTTGTACTAGACAAGGTGAATGCCTCAAAAATAGATATCATAAGGATGGAAGAACAACAGCTTAAGGATTTAAAGATAAAAAATTATCTCTATCAAGCAATTGACAGAAATTCTGGACACCATTTTAAATGACAAGACGTCTAAAAATATATGGGACTTTATGAAGCAAAAATTCCAAGGTTCCACAAGGTGAAACGATCACAACTACAAGCCTTACCCAAGGACTTTGAAACATTGCAAATGAAGGAGAGAGAATCAGTAAATTCATACTTTGCTTGGACTTTGAAGATAGCCAAAAGTATGAAAGCAGTTGGGGGGAATATAAGCAAGAGAATGTCACAACTATAAAATTTCTGCCGTCTATGACAGCCGTGTTCAACTGTGTGGTGTGCTCCATTCAAGAATCCAATAACATGGACACTATGACTATAGACGAATTGCAAAGTAGTCTATTAGGTCATGACTAGAGAATAGGAGCAAGTTATGCAAACTGTGGTTGATGACCAAACTCAAGAAAAATGGAGAAATTGACAAATTTAAAGCAAGACTAGTAGCAAAAGGCTATGCACAACACTACGGAGTGGATTACATTGCACCAATTGCCAAGCTAGACACCATTCGTATAATACTTTCAATGGCTGCACAGAATAACTTGATCATATTTCAGTTGGACGTGAAAAGTGCATTTTTTCAAGGGAAGCGGAAGGAAGAAATATATATGTACAACAACCAGATGCATATGTAAAGAAGGGGCAAAAAGATAAAGTGTATAAGTTGAGAAAAGCACTCTATGGGCTCAAACAAGCAGGTAGAGTATGGTACAACAAAATAGAAGCATATTTCTTACACAATAGCTTTGAAAGGTGTTTTTGTGAAGATACATTGTTTACAAAGTCAGCTAGGTGAGATAAAATTCTAATTGTTAGTCTATATGTGAATGATTTAATTTACACAGGAAATGATATAAGTATATGTAATGATTTTAAGAATTCCATGATGTCGTTATCTGATATGACAGACTTAGGGAAGATGAGGTATTTTTTAGGAATTGAAATTCTATTAGAGTGCACATGGAATTTTCATATGCCAAAGAAAGTATGCATTTGGTATGATGAAGTTTAATGCAGTGAAAAATCTGATTGTTTGAGGAACCAAATTGTCTGGAAATGATGCAGGAACTAAGGTAGATGCTACTATTTTCAAGCAAGTAGTTGGAAGCCTTATATATTTAACTGCAACTAGACCTGACTTGATGTATGGAGTTAGCTTGATTAGCATATTTATGGCTAACCCTTCAGAGACTCACTGGTTTGCAGCCAAGCGAATCTTAAGGTACCTGAATTTGGAATTTTCTACAAGAAAGGAGAAGACACAACATTGGGGCTTTATACTAGTGATTTTGTTATGATAGGAAAAGCACGTTAGGACTTGTATTCTCATTAGGGACTGGAGCAATTTCATGGTCTTCCAAGAAGCCGCAAATAGTGATATTATCCACACTAGAATCATAATACATAGCTGCTACATCATGTGCATGTCAATGCATCTAGATCATGAGAATTTTGGAGACTATTGGTTTTAAAGAACAGAAACACATCTTGGTTTTATGTAATAGTAATTCAGCTATTAAATTATTTGAAAATCTAGTATTTCATGGCAGGAGTAAACATATTGATGTTAGATTCCATTTCTTAGGAGATGTTGTTAGAGAAGGAAGGATCAAGTTGAGCAACTGCAACACTCAAAATCGAGTAGTTGAAATTGGAGCAATTTGTGAATATCAGAAGTATGTTGGACATGGCTGAAGCATCATAAATAAACTAAAAGCTTTCCTAAGCCTTTAGTTTAAGGGAGGGTTTGTTAGCAAATTTATGTTCTGTTTTTGAGATTAGTGGTTTATTTATGATTAAAAAAAAAAAAAACAGGTCATCTGCTGACCGATTCTTTAGGGAGAGAGGGAACTAAAATCTAGTTCTCATCTTGTTAGGTAACCGCCCCATGAATTTAGGCATAGTAGGACAGTTTCTTTTCGCATTTTTTTCATTTATATTGATATAATTCATTTCAATTCAATAACGCAGAGAGATTTATAGATTCAAGAGAAAACCTTGCCCATTTGTGTGCACAATAGGTATGCTACGACAAAAAAAAAGAAGATCTGTGTTAACTTTATCATGTCCTAATATGCTCCTCTATTCCTTGTATTGTTTTGTCTCGTAAAGAAGTTATTTCTATCTCGTTTTTTTTTTCCGTTGTTTTGAACTTGCTGAAGCACATTTATGAGTCAAGAAATAGCTTCCCGTCGATACCATGAATATCATACATAGTCTCAACTTTTATGTTCATTACTTCCTATCCTCATTATATTCGTTTTCTGATGCAGCGCTCATTCTTTGGGTTCAATGGCTCAACCTTTTGATTTAACTTTCTTTCTAGGCGCATATATTTGTGGAGTTTCACGGGGAAAAAATCATCTTCCTTTGGATTATTGTAATTCTGTATGCATGTTTGTATTAATGAATACAGTAGTTTATTAAAAGGGAAAAAGCGTCTTCCTTTGTTCCCCATTTTTAAGCTTTAGCGATTGATGCCTGCAATCTATTTATCTTCATGTTGGCTCTGAATCTTAATGAGCTTCATAAACCATATAGGGGTTAACGGAAACGGATTCCACTGTTGCCAATATTGTGAGTGTAGCTTTGCTGCATTTTGTCGGAAATGTTAACAACTCTAACCATGTCAAGAAGAAAATTGCAGTGAATACACTCTTGACATTTTCTCTTATGCGTTCTTCTATTATACACGTAAAATAGTATGTTGTCTCACTAATAGAGTGGAGTCGGATCATTTCATGGGATTGGCATAGAATTTCACTAAATAAAAATTAAAAGTACATTACTAGTATCTCTAAAATAAATTATGTTAGTTTCACAAATCATCATCATGCGCCTTTTCTATTTTATCGTTCTTCATATTGCGTGCAAAATTTTCTTTTATTAAGATTTATTATCTCTTTCTAAAACAAAGATTATAAATGTTGTTTTTCCCTCTTTATTTCCCAAAATGAAATTTATCGTTTTGCAAAGTGGTTAGACATCACCTTCAAATCTAGAATGCTCAATGATAATTGCATGGTAATACTTTGGTGGTATTTTAGAAACATTATATTATTGTATGAATAAAAATCAAGTAAATGTTGACGATAAAATTTATCGACATTAATAAATCTACATATTTTTTCAAAGATTATAACAACTTTTCAAAAGTTTTGCTCAACCAAAATTACATTCTTATAAAAGATTATTACAAACCTAAAACAAAAATCTTAAGATAATTGAAAATGTTATCAATCACATCGCGACGTACACTTTTCTGGAAACCCCATCATAACAAAGACAACTTTTAGTTTTAAGATAGCATTTTGTTTAATTGGACATTTGTATAAAGAAAGAAACAAAAACAACTAAAAAGTTCTTAAACGAAAATCTTTTTTAGTGAGTACAAGTTTCAAAATATATTCCATGAAAATCAATTAGAAAAAAAAATCCAATCTATAGAGAAGTTGAAAAAAAAAACAGATCAAATAGTACTTATGTTGCTCTTATTAGGACATTTGATCTTACACTCAACTTGTAACTAATTAAACGCGTATGATTTGTTTTATGCTAACCAAGGATAAAAGAACAAATGACAGATAACAATTTTAAAAATGGTCTCTACAAGAAGTTAAAGAAAGAAATGTGATTTTTTTGTCACAAGAAAGTGTGCCGTATAAAATCTACTGTCTATAGATAGAAATACACAATTTGCATTGAAAAACGGGCAAATGTACAGATGTACTACAATGGAACATGAAAATTTCCACTGCCATTTAAGTGAAGTGTTTTCAGTATCATCGTCCCAAATCACCAGCCATATTTTGCTTGAGTTTCAGCTTTGGTAAGCATGCCTTTTGCACGCCGCTCAGCTAGTTTCATTTCATTTTGTTTCATATCGAAGAACAATGAACCAATTTGATGCTTCCTCTTATGCAGCTTTGAAGGCTTGCCCTTTGTCGAAGCAGGCTACAAGAATAAATTTGGTAAGCACAAAGTAACTGATGGAAACATCCCCTTTAGGGAGTAGAAGGAAAATTATACGAGTTGTACAATGTAGACTAACAGCCCAGTGACCAAGATTTCCTATTTCTTGAACTATTTGAATATGTACTGACACATGGGTAAAATCCTAAATTCTTTCTATGCAACAATAAGCATTAATCTTTTTATTTGTTACCATTACTGGCAGCTCAGTATTTCTATGGTCCTAAACAGTAGTAAAAATGGTTCAAATGGAAAGAAAAACAATCCTCTTGGCTATCTTTCACAAATCTTACATCCAAAAAAATAAACGATAACAAGAAGATCACTTCTTAACATTTAAAATATAATAAGTTAAAATAACACAAAGAAAATGTCTAGTTTTTTTCATTTTTTATCAATAACAAGAGAGGTAAAAACAAAAGTTAAGCAGTACATCAACATGCAAATAGTCATAACTATAATGTGATGAATGGTTATACTAACATAGGATCTAAATGAAGTATGGCTCAACTTAAAATGTAATTAATATTTTTAATTTTAGAGGATAATTTCTAGTTTAGTTAGTTACAGCAGAAGATGAAGCTCCAATAATTCCTTTAACTAAATATAAGGGAAAGACACAAAAGCACACCCCTATGTGAAAGATATCTTTTGTTATATAAGGACATAAAGAAAAAGACATAATTCCTTTTAATTTTGTTATTCAAAATTTAAAAAAAAAAAAAAAAAAAAAAAAAAACTCATTCTGATGTAAAAAAAATTATAATGTACAGATGTGTGCACAAACAGTCAAAATTCACATGATTTCACTAAACAACAATCATACACTTCTATATTTACATGACCCTTTTATATGGAATGCAGAGAGAAATTCATGGTCAGCTTTTCTCCAGATTCCCTTTGTTTCCATAAAAGGAAGATGAGATATATTTCATACACATATGAGCAATATGGCTCAGTGACCTGCGAGAAAAGCAGCTAATATATAGGCTTAAATACCTACTTAGTCCCCGTGTTAATAGCTGAATTTCCATTCAATACCCGGTTTTAAAAATGAAGACATTAGGTCCCTATATTATGAAAAGTGTATGACTTTAGTCCTGTCCGTTAAGTTGGTAGTAACGGTGTTAACTCCGCGTTGACGTGGCTACGCTTCTTTTCTCTCTCCTCTGCTCTTCCTGACACCTTCTGCTTTTTGTATATTAATGATTTTCATGATTTCTCTCTCACCAAACCTTTCTCTACACTTCATGCTTTTTGCACATTGTCCGTTGATTTTTGTTAGAAGAAGAGAAGCCTTCGGACAGCTACAGCAGTACATGGCAGCAGAGTCCAGCAGCAAGGTGCTCCACGGTCTTGGTCTATGCAAATTGTCATTAAGGAAGGAGCAAATTGTCATTCCTTTTCTATATAAGCAAACGGCCATGAAGCACATGGAGGAGGGGGCCACCACTTTGAAAGCCTACGTGCAAATGAAGGAGCTCCAACATTCTATGCTTTTGATTTTTAATTAATGAATACAACCACACGGCCCACATGGAAAAGATGTATATTCACTTTGGCTTGTAGTGCAGATTTTTCACTCTCCATGCTCTTCCACGAAGCTTTTGGTTTTGGACATTCAATGGAAAAAAGGAAGCTCACGGTTTTTAAAGAAAGTTGCTGCCACAATTCTTATGCATTCACGGTCACACTAGATTTGTTGTTTTTGGCTTCAAAACATATGTGGTCACGGAAGAGTAGCTTGGAGGGCCCCAACCTTATTTCTTTTCTCACCTCCAAGAGGTGCTCACGAGTGAGCTCAAATGTGGAAGCAAAGAAGGTACATCACGTCAAAGGCAGCACACGTTAGCTGGAAGCTAAAGACAGCAACTTGCACACGGTGAAAGAAGGTCCAGCAGCAGAGAAGCATGCCACGGCCCATGGATGCAAGTGATCTTCATTTTGAAGAGAAACACAATGGAGGGCTGCATGCGGACATCAACACAAGATCTGCACTCCTTCAAATCTTCATCCAAAAGGGTCCATGAGAAGCAAAGCTTTGGAGCAGCCAGCTATCAAGAGCAGCACACGGAAGAGAGCACATTGTCCATTGATTTTTCTTAGAAGAAGAGAAGCTCTCGGACAGCTGCAGCAGTACATGGCAGCAGAGTCCAGCACCAAGGTGCTCCACGGTCTTGGTCTATGCAAAGAAGAGTAGTCCAGCTATCTCCATGTCCAGCAGCTTGGGAGCATGAGAAGGCTACG